TAATAATTTCAACATGTTGTCAAGCCTAAGTAAAGCAAAGGCATAATTCTCTTGAACAGCTCTTGCAATTATAGCACATTTGTAATCGGCCCATTGATACTTTCACTTTTCATAGAAAGATTAGAAATAGGGGAAATACTTAAACGGAATGATCGCTGGACAAAATTGTAAAATCCAGGAGAATCCTGGTAAAAAACGGGAGGGCTGACAGGTATGGATTAAACGCATCAATACAGCGCTTCAACAATTCATAGGCTACGTGATTTATTCATTTATACGAGTGGCAATAGCCTACCGTGATTAGGTGCGACTAAGATCAAATCTTAATAAGTACACAGTGGAGTTTGCATTAACCGCACACAGAGACTAACTTTAATTATATTCTAGCTCCAAACTTCAAGCATGGAAAGTCTTGCGACATCTGAATCACGTCCAAATTAGCCTAAATCTGAGGTAACAAACGAAAATGAAAGCCACGGAGCTTTACAAAACAAATAACTATATATATATATTGAAAACACACTTTAAACGCATTATTTTTAGCATCTGATGACCCGATGCACTAAATTTTCTAAGCACAGCAGTGTGCTTTTACACTTCAGAGAAGTGTAGAGCTGGTCACATTGGTGTTATTGTACACAAAGATTTAAACATTTTTTTCTTTTATTATTTAGTAATTGTTCTGCGTACCACTAGACGGAAGTCCGCATACCACTAGTAGTACACGTACCACAGTTTGAAGAAAAAAAAGGCTCCTACATCTTGAATGGGCTTTGCGTGAAAAAATTAAGAGAATTAAATTTTTTATATGAATTTCACATTGTACATGGCAATGAGTTATCGCATAATATTGCATAATCAAAAACAACGTAAATATTGTTGCCAGAAAATAATACTAAAAAGTACCTGTCTGTGGGAAAAGAGACAACTTTACCTCTATACAGTAGATCACGGTGGACTCCACACAAAGACTGCCAAGGAGTATCTAGATGAAAAAACAGAACAGAACTCTGCATGAGTCAGGTGAGCAGAATATAATTTGCTGTAAATAAACAATTTTCAATTAAACAAAGCACATAGCCTCTATGAATTAATGTATACATAAATGAAATTTAGGGACTTAATACACTCAGGTGTTTTCATAACATTGCCAAACAATGGGGACAATTGCTATACTATGAGAAACAACCAAAGACATGTGAAATATTTTTTTTTAATAATAATAAATTATATTCTTCCTGACATCAGAAAGTTAAGCCTTTGTATTATTGAATCAATTTACTAATAAACATTAAATATAAAAAATCTCATAAAACAACATTTTAAATTACACACAAATAAATAATTAATGTTGCTTTGGATGATTTTCCACTTAATATTAAAATACATTAGCATACTGATACTGATATTATGTACAGTAAGTGTCTTTCCTCAAATTTCCCAAAGATGTGACAGAACAGTTGTAGATTTAAAGGGATAGTTCTCCCAAAAATTTAATCTACCATTAATTAGGGAAATTGAACATTATTTACAATATTAATGGCTTTTGATCAAAAGCTTCCTCAAACAGTACTCACGAATGTCTGCATTGCATTTGTAGTATTGTCACGTTTCTGCAAGGGCACACTCCTTGCTAAAAAAAAAAGCTACACACTCAATGGCAGACATTTATGAGTACTGTTTGAGGAGACTTTAAATTAAAGCTAATAATATAGTAAATAATGTTCAATTTCTCACACAGACCGGTAGTTTTACTTCACAAGACTTTGGTGTCACCAGGTGCAATGGCTATTGATTTAGACTTGTTTGTATGTGTATTTTAAATCTAAAAAACAAAAATCACTATTGGCTGCCATTTATATGAATCAGCATTGAGCACAGATTCAGCCAAAACCCTTCTTTAATATTCTACAGAAGAAAATGGGTAACTACATCTTTGATGAGCTGTGCATGAGTAAATTAATGGGAAATTTAGATTTTTGTCCCTTTAACAGTTGTAAGGAAATTATTTAAGAATATGTATGGTGTGTTGCTTTAATGTTTTAATAGTACAATTTATTTTTAAGTTGAACAGATCCATCAGTGGAGGACACCATGGAAAAACCTGTATGATGTATGTATTCAGCATTTTACATTTAGTTCAACATGCAGTATATACAATTCAAACATGAAAAGCAAGAAAAAAGGACTGACTTCAGATTCCACAACACACAAAAAAACTGTTAAGTGCAAAAATCAATGATGACATGCTGGGATATGCATGTATAAAAATAAATGCATTTCACCAAAATCAATCATTATTAAAGCAAAAATCATAAATACTGTACTCTGTTGCATTAATATAAAAATTTATCATTTATTATTTTTTAAATTAATTTTACAATAATTGATTGTAAGACAACCAGTTTTCCGGTAAGTTATGTGCTGTAGTCTTTCTTGTTATTTATTTTAATGCTTTAAACAACATACACGAGAAAACAAACATTATAATACTGTATAAATATAAATAAAAGTAAAAACGTACAAAATGTAATGTATTGTAATTTTTTTATTAAATTAATAAAAAAATATTCTTACAATTATGGACAAACCTATAAATAAAAGTAATATTATAGGTACAATTTTTTTGTGTTTAGAGAATAGATTTAAATCGCAAACTATTATATAATGTTGAGGGTGCACTATCATCATCTGTTTACAAACAGCCGTTGGTCATGTTGACACGTCACATGACCACCGGCTGTTTGTACACAGATGATGATAGTGCACCCTTAACGTCATTTTTTTATAATAGTTTGCGATTTAACTCGATATTAATCTGTAAATACAAAAAATATTGTACATAACAACCCTGTTCAGTTGTTACACTTGTTATTATACGTCTGTTTACATATTTACTTGTTTTGCTTGGTTTTAAGCTCAAGGTTCATTTGTCAGTTGTTGGTAAGTATCATTTATTAACGCTAACGTTAGCCTTTCGACGTCGTTAGAATTAATTTATTTATTTTTACGCATGTGCCATCTCTTTAATGATTTTTTTTATGTAAAACCCTAACTTTTTGGCGCATTACCAAATGTTACGTTACAAATGTTTAAACAGTGTTTTTTTATGACCAAAACCCGTTAATCTGTGTCGACCATGGCTTAATTACATTAACCGAATGTTATTAATTATTTATGTACTTATGTTACTGTAGTAAACCATGGTTAATTATCGAAAAAGTTAACTGACGTGGTCTATCAGCTGTTGGAGCGGGAAAATTGAATGTGTCTGATTGGTTTGGGCCATCAGCGCTGAGAAAAGTAACACGTTACGTTAAATGATTTATTAAATTAAGTTTAATAAGCATTACGTTTGATACGGTTAGGTTTCATAAACAAGAAACAGACTTTACATGATATAATCATGAGACTCACTCCATCCCTGAGGACTAACGTTAACTGCGTTAGTTAGTTAGTAACCAGTTTCAAAATGCTATCATAAGTTAAATGGAGTGTTTGAGCGTGTGAGAGCGAGAAGTAATGGTCAGCATTACATACTAAGGCGTGCTATAATCGCGTTTCCCCCCCACAACGAAAATCACATCCAATTTACTATGTGATAAAATAATGCTATGAATGAAAAGAAATAAAGCACCTTGTCGAAAAAGTAACTCGTATTACCTATAAACCCCATGAAGCTTGTGGTCGTCGTCGTCCTCCTCCTCTTCTTCGCATTGTAATTCGCACAGTTAGGCTATTTTACTATAGGTGTATTACTGCCACCTATTGATTAGGAATATGGGTCAAAAACAGGAGCACAAACTACCCTTGAGCCAACTAAATTCTATCACATAAACCAGTGTCTTTAAAATATCAATAAGAATTTCAATTTATTGAAATTTTCTTTAATTATTTTCTTAAAACATTAATCGAATTGATTTAATAATTTTCATCAAGTTCAGCAAACAGTACATTTATTACAAATATATATACTTTCCAGTTTCATGTCCCTATATTCTGTACAAATAACTTTTAAGACTATTATTATCAAACTTAAATATTATTAGCTTTGTCACTTATATTTCCTCCCATTGTTCTAAATTTGCCAACAAATCTTTGAATATTGTAGAATCTGTAGAAAGATCTTTTTTTTTTTTCTATTTCAAAATCTAAAAAAACATCTTACTCCATGGCCCAGTAATTTTTTACAGTAATGTTAGCTCCAAAGATTTTTATGTTTTTTTTTCCTGCATGGCTTCATTACTCACCCTAGACCACATGTTTTAAACTCCATTAATTACACCATTATATCTCAGTAACATAAGTAAATAAATAATTAAAGCTTACCTCTTAGTTCTGCCCACCAAGCCTGCAAAAATAAAGTTAAAACTATAAAAATTTTATTATTTAATCATTAAATTAAATTAATTAAATTAACTGCTTTTTTAAATTAAATGCAGTTCAATTTGTTTTATGCTTGTGATTCAAAGCTGTATATTCATCATCATTACCACATTCTTCAGTTTCACATGATCCTTCAGAAATCATGATATAATGCGTTGCTGTTGTATTATAATCAATTTTTATTGGAAAATTACTAATGATGCTTCTTACAATTATCAGTGCTGAATATATTTTTTCTTGCTTCATTATAAACTGATCCATTTTACTTTTCAATGAAAAAAGCCAGTTCAAAATAATAGCTTTTCTTTGCATTTTTACATCATACATCTCAAAAAAGACTTCACATAGAACTATTGTTTGTATCTTTGATTTGTTTAAATCAATAATGATAAAAATTACATCTTTAGACTCCTGCATTATCTAACTTTCTAACATGTTTTTGTTCCCCTCTGCTTGTTTCTCAACATCTGCTGAATACTAGTCTAAAGTGTTCTTTTTAGAACCAGAGAGGCAATCATCTTTGGCTTTGTAAGTATATTTTGTGATAAATTTGACAACACCTTAATTTTTGTGCCTGTACATCAATGAAAATCTACTGAATATGTTTTTTCTTATTTAATACATTGCAGACATTTTTATTTATCTCAGACATAAATTTAAGGCTTAAAAATAATAAAGTTTGCTTTAGCTAATTTGGCTTTAGATACTTACCAGTTGAATTACGTAATGAAATTACTGAACAGCCAGAGTAAAGATTTCTGAAGACATTTCCAACATCGAAATTATATGATCCAATGCCAACCTTTAAAATAAAAAACAAACAAACAAATAAACAAAAAAGTTGTTCATATTTTGTCTGTGGTAAACATTGACACTGACATTGAATTGTCTTAGTTTTTATAAAGTTGTGATATATAATATAATCTTATAATCTATAATCCAATCAATATAACATATAATCTACAAATAATAGTTTATTTCTGTTTACTCCGGTTGTAAATTTACAACCAGAGTAAACAGAAATAGCCTGTACATTTATATGCCTGCTTCCTGTATGAAAAACAAAAAGTTAGAAGAGGAAATACAAAAAAACAATACATTAACGTTGCTCTGAAACTGTTAGTGCTGGGTTTTTGCAGCTGGGTATATTTTTTAGGTTGTTGTTGTTGAATGTATCAAAATGAAACGAGAACAGGGCTTTAGGCTACAATTTTTAAGACAATTTAATGTAAAACACAACAGACCCCTGAGACCTTGGAAAAACAGGTGAGCTTAAAGGGTGGCATAGAGATCTGGTTAAGAATGTAATTAATCTTGTTAATGTGTTCTAATTTTGTCTCCTTAAAAATGCAAGTGTTTGCATATGTTTGTGAATTATTACAATTGTATAACAATACACAAATTATTACATGAACACATTTTTTTAATAAGCTCTGTTGGAATGCACACTGGAAGGTTTAAACAATTGTATTAATTGTTTAATTGAGACCTTTGAGTCTCGTCAATCTAATTCAACAAATGTTTTTTTTCTTCATTTTTTTTTTTCGGCAGAATAAACTTGAAATGTAATGTGTTATGTTCCCTAACACGTAATTCAGAAACTCAGTCTTTTGGCTCACCTGTCATTGTTCCTGACAATTCATTGGTTATTCTGACACATCACGCATAAACTAAAGCTGAGCTATCTATATTGGACCAGAACATAAAAAATGTTATTTCATTTCTCCTTGGGTTAAGAATTGTTCTTTCACCACATGAAGCAAACCTCGTTCAATCTCATTAATAAAACTGATTGGACTGTAAGAGCAGATTGGTTATTATAAACAGATTGTGATTGTGAGCTGCCTGTCTATTTGGATCTGTTGTGTTTGTGACATTGCATAATATATTATGCAATGTCACAAACAGACAACAGAATTTATAAATGCTGCAAATGGGTCCTCAGTTCCTTGACCCCTCATTCCAAATACTCCTTATTTTACAGATGGCTTATTTGAAAACATGGCGAAAAAGAAAAAGAGAACTGAATCAACTTCTGCAGGACTCAGACAGTGAGGACAGTCTGCCAGGCATTCCAAATGTTTTGGAGAGTGACAGTCAGCTAGAGAATACAGATAGTCTGGACAGTTTCAGCAATAATGAGAAGTCAGATATAGAAAATAAACAAAATGATGAAGTGAATTTAAACCTGGAGGATGACTTGAGGCAGTGGGCCACAGACAACAGAGAAACACACAGATCTGTAAATCAATTGCTGTCCATTTTGAGACAACAAGGGCACACGTTACCCAAGGATGCAAGGACACTTCTTGATACACCACAAAAAAAAAAAAAACATCTGTTGATAAATGTGGTGGAAAGTATATATATTATGGATTAGAGAAGGGGATCCAAAAGTTTTTAAGCCAGTTAGAATCTGATGCTGTACACCTCAGCATAAACGTTGATTGAATTCCTCTTTCTAAGAGTAGCAACATTCCGTTTTGGCCAATACTAGCAAAGATAAGCCATTTTGACCCATTTATTGTTGCTATTTATTGTGGACAAAAGAAGCCAAGTCCCCTTGAAGAGTTTCTGTCTGACTTTTTGAATGAATACAAGCAACTCCAGGATAACAGGATAAGTTATGAAGACCAAACTTACACTGTCCACATTGCTGCTGTGATCTGTGATGCCCCAGCAAGATTTTTGAAATGACAAAAACTCATATGACAGTTGTGAAAGATGCATAATTAGAGGTGAGCATGTTGAGGGAAGAATTGTGTTCAAGGAACAGGAATGCTGTCTTCGTACGGATGAGGCGTTCAGCAGAGCAGAGTACAGCAACCACCAAACCGGTGTCACCCCCTTGATTTCTGCATCAATTCCTCGCATAACCTCTTTTGTTCTGGATTACATGCACATGGTCATCCTAGGTGTAGTTAAACGTCTTATGCAGTTTTTGACAAAAGGTCCAAAACAATGCCGGTTGTCTGTAAGGCAAAGGGGTGATATATCCGAACAACTTAATGCATTTAGAGGAAAGATGCCCAGTGAATTTGCACGGCAACCCCGAGGTCTACATGAATTGGACAGGTGGAAGGCCACCGAATTACGGCAATTTTTATTGTACACGGGTCCCGTAGTACTAAAAAATGTGCTGTCGCAAGACAAATACAGCCATTTCTTGTCACTATCTGTGGCCATGTCTATAATGCTGGAGCCAGATGATGAAATTCGAAATGCATACTTTCAGTTTGCTCAAGACTTGATGAAGCACTTTGTCAAGTGCAGCGGAGACCTGTATGGAAAGTTTTTTCCAGTGTACAATGTGCATGGACTAACACATCTTCATGAAGATGTTAGACACTTCAACCGGTCACTAAATGAAATAAGCTGTTTTCCTTTTGAAAACTACTTGCAAAAAATCAAAAAGTTAGTGAGGAATGGAAAAAGTCCACTAGAACAGGTCACCAGGCGTTTATCTGAAATGGAACACGAGAACAACCTGAGCAAAGCACAACATGCCACACAGCCTCTGCTGTCACTCAAAAAAAAAGACTCCTGTTTTCTCTTGAAAGATGAAAGGTTTGCTTTCATTCAAGAAAAAAATGATGATGGAACTTTCATTTGTAAAGTTCTTAACCAGTGCTACACTTCTGCATTATTTAATCAGCCATGCAGCTCCAAACTTTTAAATATAGTGTGCATTAGAAATGAACAGGGCAGGATGAAAAGAAGAGTACTGCACCAGACAGAGCTCCACCGCAAGGTGGTCGGCCTTCCACAGAAATCTGGGGGTTATGTCCTCATACCCCTACGCCATGGGACTGAGCATATTTGATAAAGGTTGGAATTAGTCTAATTTCCATTATAATTAACTGCAGAAGAGTGCTCTAAATTTGTTTTAATCAAGTATTCGGTAATCAAGTAAACGGTAAGAAAATCAGTGAGATAAACTGATTTTCATAGATTCTGCTAGAACCACTTGAACTTCTGAAACTGCTTCATAGTCTGGAAAATGCATTAAATTTTCTTTGCCCACCCTCCACAAAGCTTACCTCTTTCCATTGCATACTTGCCTTCAAACCTCCACCGCTACTTTATCTAGCTAGTGAGTTCTAGCTACACCTGTTCCTAATCACATTAATCACCTTCAATCTACTAAACTCTTGGAACCATTTCATCGCCTGGCTTGAAAATGCACAAAAATTTCTTCGCCAGCCTTCCTCAGAACTCAATTCCTTCCATTGCATACTTGCCTATCAACCTCCACTGCTACATTTTTTTTAAATATTAATTTTAATCACTTATAAGCTGAGTCAATATTTATATTTATTTTTGTGTGCATATACAGTAGATTGTACCCCATCAGGGGCGGACTGGCCATCTGGCAGACCGGGCACTTTCCCGGTGGGCCGACGTACTTTTTGGGCCGGGCTGATCATCGTCTTATGATCTGTTCTGCCCATAAAAGGCTTTGAAGCCTATCGTTTTTTCTGCCTTATTAATTGACGCTGCTGTGATCTGTGACTCTCTGAAAGTACACTCTCAAAAAAAAGGTAGCATTTGTAGCTGCAGTTATAAACTGCTTACTAATGTTTATTAATGTAGAGTTAATGCTTAACAGATAATAAATTCACTAGATGCTAATGTTTAATATATGGTTTATAGTCTGTAGTTATTATAGTGTTACCAAAACTTCAGTTTTTCAAATGTTATTTGTTTTTTCTTCTACTAGATGAGTATTCCTCATATGTGAATAAAAGCCAAAACTTTCCAACCTTTTATGACTTTCTTTCGTCTGTTGATCACAAAAGAAGATATTTTGAAGAAAGCTGAAAACCTGTAACTATTGACTTCATAAGTCAAAGATAATGTTTGAGTGTTACCAGCCTGCCTTATATAGAAATACTCCAGTAATTTTTTGCCCTTCTATTTCTTTTTGTAAACAGATAATACCATGTATAATTAAGATATAATATAATAATCTACCTGATGAACGAGGTGAAGGTCTGAGGCTACTCTGTGAGCCAAAGTGAAGCACAGTTGAGCGAGAGGCCCGTGGAGGGAAAGCCTTCAGCTCCGGGTCAGCATCACTGCTGCAGATGCATCTCCCAACGCCTTATAAACACACCACATGACAATAAATTAATTAGCTAAGCAAACAAAGTGCTGTACTGCAGGCTACTCCAACATAAACACATTGCTTTGCTTCTAATTACTCAAATGATCATGCTTACTGATTTGAAAAACAAGTTGTCTTACCATGTACAATTCTCATTTTCATCAAGCTGCATCTCCGACTGATCCAGGAGCATGTATTTCACCATTTTTACATCAGCTTTCGGTCTTATCGGATTCATCCCATTTTACGAACACAAATCAACCAAAATAGCAATGGGAAACTTGTGGACGTGATATGCTGATATTAATGCAATAATATACTACGATGATGATAATTTTCACCAAAACTAACAACCAGTGCTACTGCTTCACTGTAAACAGCATGCGCCTGTCAGATTAGTCCCCATTCTGACGTCACCGGGGTGGTAAAAAAAAACGGGGAAAAAACGGAAGTGGGAAAACAGACTTTTTTTTTTTTTCAAATTTGTGCCCCTGCGCTTCGTAAAACATTTTTATATGGTATTTATGGTATTATAGAGTATTTTCACAAACAATTCTACCTTTTTTTTTTTAAATAGTTTTTTTAACCTACAATAGGCTCTTTAATATTTGCTCTTTATATGAGAAATAGGCTATAATGTTTAAGCGGGCCTAATGCATCTCCCGAATATCCTACTCAGTGATGCTGAACTGTTTGCCTTCTTTAAGGCTTTCTATTGTATCAATTAGGCTAAAACTGCATGAAATTATATAAAAGGGAAGTGCATTTGGTAATGCGCACTGAGATTTGTGATGCACACAGAAATATGTGCTCTGTACTGAATTAGCTTCTCTTTCATCTAATGCAGCTTGAATGGTTTAAAACTATTACAACTGAATACTTTAAATCACAACTGTAAAGAAACCTAGCTTTAATAAATTTGCAACAATTAAAAAAACTAATTTTTTCACATTGTCATTATTGTGGTATTGGTTTTGTGTGTAGAAGTTTGAGGAAATAAATGAATTTAATCTATTTTGGAATAAGGCTGTAACATAAAAAAATGTGGAAAAATTGAAGCGCTATGAATACTTTCAAGATGCACTGTACAAAACTTCCAGTACTTTTCAAAGTATTAGAAAAGGTTTTATAAAACTGCAGTCTTTTTTTAAAATCTACATGGATTTCAAGAAGTGTTCCAGTCTGGTTGTGACAGTTATGCACCTTCCAAGTTGAGTTCCTAAAAGGCAATAAACCAGGAAGAAGAAGAAAAGGAAGAACTGAAAGAGCTCAGATTGTGTTTTCTGCTGCACAAGAGCTTCTGTACTTCTGCATGTAAGTTTGATACTTCTACCATTACGCTTCATTACGTGTCATTACAACACTGTGTCTGAACACTTTATTTATTAATGTTATGAAAGTGTTTTTAATCAGCATGTCCCTGTCTGCTGTGTTCAGAGTTTTTGTGCGGGTGTATTATGCCTAGTTCAGACTGCGTGATTTTAGCCCCGATTTTGGCTCGCCGACAGGTTTTGAGAAATCGCCGACAAATGCCTGAAATCACAGGCAAATCGCTGCTCGTGCACGTGAGTGACAAACACACAGTATGCACGATCAAAGACGCGATCTGAGAGAATCGCCGATGCCTGCGAGATATTTGGCGTGCTAAATATCTGGAGCTGTCGGCGATTCAAATCATGCCGTGTGAATTGAGTTTTGACTGAAAATAACATGAGCGATCGCCTACAGCCAATGAGAGAGCAGCTTTCACTTGTGTGTGCGTGTGTGTACCTGCTGCAGGCCAGCGGGAGGCTGAGGGAGAAGTTAAAAGCACTCATTTTCGGTTTATTTGGACCCAGTAAATGACTGCGGTCACGCCATTTGCGGTTCAGAAAGAGACGGTCACGCTATCTGTGCTTTAAATTGAGGTGCGCGTCTACTCGGTGCTTCGCGGTAAATTTAAGACGCGTGTGTTTAATGCGCTGGAGTTTTAGAATGTTGTTTCACTTTATTTCGTGAGAATGAATTCAAATGATATTTGCGAGTTTAAAACATAATTAACAGTATTAAAGTCATTACCCAGCTGTCTATTAACACTCCTTTTCATATTTACAATCTACTATTTAGGTGTTTACTGTGTAAGTTCTATTGGTTTATTTGTATTTTTCTGTAAATATTTTCCCCCTTTTCATGTGGAATGTTGCTAAATTTTTGAAAAAAATATTATTGTACAAATGTATTTTTTCCCTACTTAAATATAAATATACAAGTAATATGAAAAGCATGTAAAATACAAAAATCATAAAAAATACAGTGTTTTTACTGTATGGTCATATTAGAAAAATCATTATAAAAAAAATAAAATCTAACTGTTTTCTGCCAACCACCAAATTATTGTTCTACATGTCCTTCACTGTGCCCACTTTTCATATCATATTACTGTTGTATATTTTAATAATAGCGCGCTAAAATCGTGAAAAATACAGTGTTTTTTACTGTAGTCATATTAGAAAAATCATAAAAAAATAACATCAAATTGTTTTCTGCCAACTCCAGCAGATTATTGTTCTACATGTCCTGATGTACCACTGTAGCCTCTTTTCATAACATATTACTGTTGAATATTTTAATAATAGCGCGCTAAAATCATGAAAAATACAGTGTTTTTTACCAGTCATAAGAAAAAAAAAAAAAAAACGAAATTAACTTGTTTTCTGCCAACTCCACCAGATTATTGTTTTACATGTCCTGATGTACCACTGTACCCACTTTTCATAACATATTACTGTTAAATATTTTAATAATAGTGCACTAAAATCAAGGAAAATGCTGTATTTTTAACTGTATGGTCATATTAGAAAAATCATAAAAAAACAAAATCAAATTGTTTTGTGCCAACTCTTTCAGATTATTGTTCTACATGTCCTGATGTACCACTGTACCCACTTTTCATAACATATTACTGTTGAATATTTTAATAATAGCGCGCTAAATTCATGAAAAATACTGTGATTTTACTGTATGGTCATGTTAGAAAAATCTTTAAAAAATAAAATCAAATTGTTTTCTGCCAACTCCACCAGATTATTGTTCTACATAAATATTATATTGTATTTTATTGCTTAATTTGCAGTACATTAACCTCCAATAATGAAGTAAAAGGGGGAGGTGATAAGCCAATCAGCCAGGTTTCTTAAAGAAACAGGACCCTTAATGACTGGGTGAACATTAAATTATGTGAATGTTTAAATTGTACAATTTAAAAATTATTAAATTGAATTAAATTATTAAATTTATTAAATAAATGGTTTGGTAAAATTGAAACACTGAAGTATTTTAAATGAATACAATAAATCTTTTCACACAGACTGTAAATGTGTGGGCCATGTCCTTAGAAATACATAACATCTATTTAACTTAATTTTGACAAACAAACCTCATAAAAAGGAAATTCTACAGTCTAAACTATTTTTTAATGATTTGTTGTATTCATTTTATTTAAAACAATCTAATTTGGCTATTATGTAATGAACTAACATTTTTTTTATTTACAAAAAAACTGAAAACTATATGAAAAGTGAGCACAGTGTAGAACAATAATATGGTAGAGTTGGCAGAAAACAATTTGAAAAAACACCGTATTTTCCATAATTTTAGCACACTATTATTAAAATAATCAACAGTAATATGATATGAAAAGTGGGTACAATGGTACATCAGGACACATAGAACAATAATCTTGTGGAGTTGGCAGAAAACAATTAGATTTAATTTTTTTTATGATTTTTCTAATATGACCATACAGTTAAAAACACTATTTTTCATGATTTTAGCGCGCTATTATTAAAATATTCAACAGTAATATGTTATGAAAAGTGGGTACAGTGGTACATTTGGACATGTAGAACAATAATCTGCTGGAGTTGGCAGAAAACAATTCGATTTTGTTTTTTTATGATTTTTCTAATATGACCATACAGTTAAAAACACTATTTTTCATGATTTTAGCGTGCTATTATTAAAATATTTAACAGTAATATGATATGAAAAGTGGGTACAGTGGTACATCAGGACACATAGAACAATAATCTGGTAGAGTTGGCAGAAAACAAGTTGATTTTATTTTTTTTATGATTTTTCTAATATGACATACAGTTAAAAACACTATTTTTTTTTATTTGTGCGCTATTAATAAAATATTCAACAGTAATATGTTATGAAAAGTTGGTACAGTGGTACATCAGGACATGTAGAACAATAATCTAAAGGAGTTGGCAGAAAACAATTCGATTTTGTTTTTTTATGATTTTTCTAATATGACCAAACAATTAAAAACACTATTTTTCATGATTTTAGCGCACTATTACTAAAATATTCAACAGTAATATGATTTGAAAAGTGGGTACAGTGGTACATCAGGACATGTAGAACAATAATCTGGTGGAGTCGGCAGAAAACAATTTGATGTTATTTTTTTATGATTTTTCTAATATGACTACAGTAAAAAACACTGTATTTTTCATGATTTAGTGTGCTACTATTTAAATATTTAACAGTAATATGATATGAAAAGTGGGTACAGTGGTCCATCAGGACATGTAGAACAATAATCTGGTGGAGTTGGCAGAAAACAATTTGATTTTGTTGTTTTTTTCTGATTTTTCTAATATGACTCTTCAGTAAAAAAAACACTATTTTTCATGATTTTAGCGCGCTATTATTAAAATATTCAACAGTAATATGATATAAAAGTGGACACTGTGGTACATCAGGACATGTAGAACAATAATCTGGTGGAGTTGGCAGAAAACAATTTAATTTTGTTTTTTTATGATTTTTCTAATATGACCAAACAATTAAAAACACTATTTTTTATGAATTTAGCACGCTATTATTAAAATATTCAACAGTAATATGATATGAAAAGTGGGTACAGTAGTACATCAGGACACATAGAACAATAATCTGGTTGAGCTGGCAGAAAACAATTTGATGTTATTTTTTTATGATTTTTCTAATATGACCATACAGTTAAAAACACTATTTTTTATGTTTTGTGCGCTATTATTAAAATATTCAACTGTAATATGATATGAAAAGTGGGTACAGTGGTACATCAGGACACATAGAACAATAATCTGGTAGAGTTGGCAGAAAACAATTTGATGTTATTTTTTATGATTTTTCTAATATGACTACAGTAAAACACACTGTATTTTTCATGATTTAGTGTGCTATTATTAAAATATTTAACAGTAATATGTTATGAAAAGTGGGCAATAAATTGCTATTTTAACTGTTTTCTAACATGCACAGTTGAAGTCAGAATTATTAGCCCCCCTGTTTATTTTTTCTCTAATTTCTGTTTAACAGAGAGCAGATTTTT